CTTTAGCATTTTTTGGTGGATGAGTGGGGCCTTCTAATCTTGTAAGAGTATGGCTATGGGATCGTACCATTTCAAGATCACTTTTGCTAATCCCCCACTCTGGTACACAATCTTGGATGTTAGCAGTAACGAATCTCACGTAAATTACCTTCATATCTGGTATCTGCTCCAAGTTCTTGCAGGAAGGACCCTGCTCTCCCGCGAGAATATCGCAAACCAAAGAAGTACCAACTTGCGTAGCAAAATGCCTCTCACAACAACGTTTAATGTTCTCGATTGTTAGTTCATCTTCGGTGAATGGTACAAATTCCCTCGGTCCAATTCTGGCGTACTTTTGGGCTTTTCCTGATACATCTGAAGATAAGCGTTGAACTGTTAGCTCCTTTCCTTTAAGTAATTCACAGGAAAAAATAACCGATTCCCATTTTTGGATATTTTAGGGTATTTAAAGAATACCCACAAAAATCCCGAATTTGGAAGAGTGAGGCAAGTCCCAATCAGGGAACTTGGCTGGGAATTCCCTGGTTGGGACTCGTCTCACTTTGCCGAATATGGGATTTTTATGGGTATTCTTTAAACACCTAAAATATCCAAAAATGGGAACCCGTTATTTTTTCCTGTGATTTACGCGTTGTGTAACAGGATGGGGCGGTCAGCGGCAGAAACGAGAAGGATTCAAGGATTTTCCAAAACAATTTATTTAAAACTCGAATCCATCAGCAATACAGCAACAATAAAATAAAACAAAATAAAATAAACGGAAACTACTGAAAGATTAAACCTTGCTAGAAGCAAGTTCGCTTGTTAACTTTACAGCTGCTGCAGTTTCTTCAGTAACTTCCAAACTCAACTGAATTACGGCTAAAACGTGCCTCTAATAATACCAAAGTGTTAAATAATTTTGCACGCGGCAAACAGTAAAAGGTGTGTTGCCAAACCACAGTAAAACAGAACGCCAGGATTTCCTTAGGTTAATCCCACTAACTTAAAAAGATAAGGTCAATTAAATGATTAAAATAATCTACTGAAAAGAAAAACACGGAAAGCTAATATCCGCTACGGCGTTTAGGCAATAATATGTGGGTTTGTGGGCACACGTACTATCATTCCTAAGCGATACACAAGCTTGCTAAATCAAACCGGGAAATTCCTAAGCGCAAAGATATTAGAAGCGAAATAATAGAAAAGTAATATATTTCTTGATATAACGAAAAGTAGTGAAATTCTAGGTCTAGTGACCCTGTCACACTTGCACCTCCTGCATCACGCTTCTTCCCTTTTTTCGCCGTCACTTTATCGATCTTTAAACTTTTCCCACGCGGCGGCCCCCATATTGGAATCTCGAAAGGGGTCCCGCAAAGCATTCTGATTTTGTTTGGTAGCCCCCGGCAATGTGGCAGCGTTCGGCCACGAAAAATTTTTTTTTTTTTCCGACCAGAAAAAAAAAAAAAAACTAGTGGCAGCGTTCGGCTGGGTAGTTAATTTAATTTTGATTTGATTTGATTTATCTTTGGTTTCATTTTATTTCTATTTTACATTTTACTTTCACTTGCTTTTATTTTAAAAAGAAAAATGCGAAATAAATCAAAATTAAAAAAAATATAATGAATTATTTGGAGGTTCCTCTGCTTTTTCTGCTCCTACCCATGCAAAAGTGGATGTAGCTGGGTTACTGAATGACCTGTACACAATTTTTAGATGATTAAGTAAAAATTAGAATGTTTTGAAATTTCCCGCCCTTTTTAAGTATGTCTTTACAACTTGTGAGAAGGCCTTCCGTGACACGTCATTCCACCTAAGAATCTGGTTCGCACGCTGTAGCCACTGCCCGTTACATTGATCAACACAAGGATCTTCTACGGACTTCTCTAAGAGCTCCAGCCTGTTTAATTTGCTCTGCTCAATCACATCATCGCATTCTCCATTTCTCACGAAGTTGCAATGACTTCTTCTACCACCCTGTTGCCTCTGTTGAACATGAACTACGCCAGGTCTGTTTGGCCCTCTNCCGACCAAAAAAAAAAAAAAACTAGTGGCAGCGTTCGGCTGGGTAGTTAATTTAATTTTGATTTGATTTCATTTATCTTTGGTTTCATTTTAATTCTATTTTACATTTTACTTTCACTTGCTTTTATTTTAAAAAGAAAAATGAAAAATAAATCAAAATTTAAAAAATATAACGAAACCAATTCCTAGAAATTTGAATATTTTTAATGACAGTTCTCGGCCACCATACAACGTGTATGCTGGCGCGTTCTCAGAGGAGCGTAAATTTAAGATCAGAAGCCATTTCCAACGGATGATCCATGACACGTAATGGGTTTTACGGTAGATCATTAAGGAAATTTGAAATTGAAGCGTCCTGCTGCTAAGATTATCCATATAAAGGTACATTTGATCACATTGCCTGACGGAAAGAGTGGAACAATACTATAAAAAGGCCTTCAAAACGGATTTGTAGAAAATATAGGACAATCAGGTCCTTTGTCAGTTGACAGTAAAACCCAAGGCAAATGTCAGTTGTCGGTTAAATTTTAGGCGATTTGTCAGTTGTCACTTAACCCCATCCAGACCCTCTTACTAGACTTTTCAAAAACGTGTGCCAGAAGATCGTTTGAATAATTAAGTTTAGCCGATCCAATAAAAAAAGAGGGATGAATGTATAAATTTCATACACTCATTATCGTATTTTAATCTTTCCGGGGTATATTGCGAATCAGTTGAATCATGACCAGCTCCCGGTTAGTTAGCTCCCTAGAGTTCAGTTGGTTATAGCGCTCGAATTCCTACAAGCCTGAATTTCAGTTTCAGATTTTTCTTTTCGCAGCTGCAAAACTTTGCGTCTTTAACAGCAATGTTTTCTTTGCATTTAAGATAATAAATCATTCGTTCCGTTTTAACAGGTAACCTTTCAAGCATGAAAATTATATGTGCAGGACTGTCAAAAACAGGAACTACATCCATGGCAAAGGCTTTAGAGATACTGGGTTTTAAAGTCTACGATTGGAAAGAACACGTGACGATCCATGTCGATGAATGGCTTGTTCTCTACTTGAAAGGTAAAACTCCTGACTTCGCTTCCATGTATAAAGATGTAGATGCTGTCACCGATATTCCAGCGAATATTAATTTTTGGTATGAAGAAATCTTACAGGCCTTTCCAGACGCAAAGGTGATTCTAAGTGTACGAGACAGCGAGGATGCCTGGTTGAAAAGCTTTGTCAGAGAAAACGATGTGGAAATGTTATCAAATGATGGATTCCTGGTTAGGTGGTTGTTGAGGAACTGGTCTCACCCCAAATACTATGCACTGTTATATTGCTCGAAGCTTGCAGCGGTTGGCAGCTTACAAACAGTAGAATCTACCGTTTTGCTCAGGAAAAAATATCGCGAGTACAATGAACGAGTGCAGACCGTCATTCCTAAGGAGCGACTCTTGGTGTACAACGTGAAACAAGGCTGAAAACCAATGTGCGCGTTCCTTGGATGTGAGGTCCCTCAAGAAAGTTTTCCTTGGGTGAATAGAGGTGAAAAGAGGCACCTTACAAACGCTAGCTCAGCGAAAACAAGAATTGGCAGTCAAAGTGGTTAAAGTCTTTATTATTTTTATGGGTTTATTTGTTCCTTTTTTCTCGTTTTGCTATTTGAAGTTTTGATGGAGGCGACTTGCAGTGTTTGAGTTAATGATAATCCTTGCTTAATCTGAAGTACTTATGGAAAGCAAATTCATTAGGTAGGGGAGTAGGGTATGTTCGAGTTTGGATTCGAGTTCGAGTTCGAGTTCGAGTTCGAGTTGGACTTCGAGTTGGTCGACTTCGAGTTGGACTTCGAATCAAAGTTCAAGTTAAAGTCTTCAACCTTTTTGCAGCATAAACTGAATTACAAGGCGGGTCATTAATTACATACAACTACTTGGGAATTACGACACGTAAATATAACTGTTAATGTTAAGACATCACATTTCGGTATTTTAAACGTGATTCTGGTATATTTGATGGTGCAAAAATTTCCAAATCTGTTAGTCCTTGAGGAAGCAGGCACAGAAACAGTTCTCCTGTTCTAAGGGCATACGGTCTTGTGTGTGCAACTCGCGGCACTAAGTTTCGTAGCAGGTCGGAGGAAGAGCAACTTCGCTTGAGAAATGTTATGCAGGCATCCTCCCTCCTCTGGCGCAGCAGAATTAAGCCTGATTTCTTGAGCGCGTCCTCATAGCACAGAGAAGGAAAAACAATTTTTAGCGCCCTCTTTTGGCTTTACCTTTGAAGTCAAAGTCATCAAAGTCTCTCTCGCCTCCCTCCGTTCTTTTTTTTGCCCTCTATTTTTAAGCGCTTGTCGTACGCAGGCTTTGCCGCACAACGTGCATGAAGTCTGGTATTGGCCAGTCGAAATATAGTATACCTCAGCCTTTTTTACCTTGTTTTATCAGTCTTTCCAGCAGTCTTTTTTACTTTAATTCTATTTTCAAATAAACAGTTAAAATCAGAAAATAAAGCGACCCGACCAAAGAGGGCTATTAGAATCGGATCCCTAGCTCTGTCTCAGGTTACGTTCGATTGCGAAATCTGGATTTAGATTGTGAAATCTGGATTTCGGATTTTGCAATCGAACGCGAAATCCGAAAACGAATTGCCTCGGAGAAATTCGTCCTCAGGGTGCATTTCAATTAAGAAATCCAATTAGATACCCCTTTGGCTTCCTTGTCTGTCTTGGTAAAGAACGAGGAAACCGCTATTAATTTTTTAAAGTTGCTCGGCATTTTGTGGTCCTGTCTTTAAAGTTCTTCTCTGTGCCTATAAAGGCCCTAGCTCCTCTACATTCCTCCAATATTTTCCCATACATAAAGCGAAGCCAAGACTACATGTTTATTATCGGCTTCAGTTGTCAGTGGTTTCACTAATCTGGGCTAGTAATAATGAAAAGTTATGAACTGGAATTTTGGATTCGCATGAAAAAAGGGCAAATATTTGCTTAAGCGGGGCAGTAAATATACTAATTGTATATTGCTGGAACAAGGACTGCAGTTCACTAGGGGAAAGGCCCTCCTCTCTTTGATGCCAGCAGTATAACTAAAGAAACCACAAGTCCAAAGATATAAAAACAAGCATTTTTCTTTATTTACAAACAGTTCACAATATCACACAAAAGTGGCTTAACATAGAAACGTCTTTTTGGCAAAACGTTTAATTTCCCGTGCATTAATCTGGTGATTGCTACCATTTTTGTAATCTGCCACAATAATTGGCCTTCCTCTTTCTAAGTTGTTTTGGTCGCCATGGTTTCGGTTGAGCGGCTCTTTGGCGGGCAAGTTCTTCTTGACGTAATCGTTCTCGCCGCTCTTCCTCCAATTGGCGTTGATTTTCACGATACAATCTGTAAAACGAAAACGAACCATATTTATGTTGTATTTGATTAAGCTCAAAAGAGCGTCGATCAGGGACGAAAATTGAATGCTGGGGTGTTTCTTGATGTCGCGCAAGTTAAATGTTTCGTTGTTTAGTAGTACAATTGCGGTGCGGGTATTGTACATTGTAGATTGTATTTTCAAGCCTAAGGCCCAGTCCACATGTATCGGGATATTTTTGAAAACGGAGATCTTTTCCCTCGGTTTGCAAACAAATACGCGTCCAAACGTAGCATATTCGAATCCTTTTCGTCCGTCCACATCAATTAAAACGCCAAAACGATAGATATACGATAGCATCCCTCACAGAGCGTGCGTAATGCTTGTAGTATATGATGCATGACATCATCGTATTCGAAAACCTCCATTTCCGTCCCCCCACGCGTAAACAAAAAGCCGGCGTTTTTAAAAATCTCCACTCTGGAGAGCGTTTTTGAAAAGATGCGTTGTCGATGACCTTTTTCACCGGACACGTGTGGACGGTAGGCCAACCGGAGGAAAAATCTCTGTTTCCAGTCAGAAAAGTTTATGCGTGGGTTGGGCCTTAATTACGTTTCGAGGTTGCACCACATCTGTAACTGCAAAAGGAGAGTGTTGTCAACCTTAACTTTGACTCAATACACGGTGCGCCGTCTGAATCAGATGTCACGCCAGTGTCGCTCCAAAGTCGAACTTATTCAATTAGGTTCGGCACATGAAAAGTACGGCGTCTGAACCAGGCCTAAGTCGACAAGGGAATGGGTAAATAAAATAAACTTGTCGAGTTTTCAAATAAAAAACTTTTCCAAATTCCTGCTTGGGTGATCAGCGCGAGAAAACCAAAACATTTTGACGTCACAACCATGTTTACATACTCTCTCATGCAAACACGCCTCTCGGCCAATCAGAGCGAGTGTACTATGTTAGATATTTAATAAAAATGTCCAAAGAACCCAACTGACCAGCTGACCGCATAAAGTAGTTTTCCTTGAAGCGCCCCCCAAAATGGGCGTGGTCACGGATTTTGGTGAGGTTTTCACTTTACTAGTCTGGCAACCTTTTCCACAAATTGCAAGCATAGTATACAGTACCAGCCGTTAAAAGGATTGTGTTGGACCATTGTCTTGACGTTGTCATAGTCTGCATAGACGTATGTAACAGATCTACCGTTTTTGTTATTTGGAACTGAATTTTGTATTTTTATTTTAGTGCAAAACTCAAAAGTCTCAACTAACCGTGGTTCGTAGCCACTTAATATGAATCTATAGTTCTGCCCTAGGAGAAACCGGGCCATGAACGTAGAAATTTGGTGTGGTATTATTGCTTAAAAAAACGGTAAATTCGAAACGTATTCTCTTACCTCCATTTTCGAATCAACATTCGAATAAAACGTTTGATGCTGTTTATAATCAAAGGAATGGCGAGGTACAAGGCCCTACAGCAATATTCAGTCACCAAGATCATAGTCATCATATCAAACGTGTCCTGCCAGGTCCAGTTCATCATTTTGGTAAGGCATTTTGTCAAATAAACTGAAAAGAGATTGAGCGATAGTAAGTGGTCTTTAACGAACAAGGCGCAGGCACAAACTTCCTTATATTTCTACACTAACTCCGTGAAGAGAGTTAA